TCCCCAGCCCTAAGCCATGTTCTTGAAATTGCCTCCAGTCCAGAAAGACTGAGTAATATAGGATTCATTTTGTTTCCTTCTCTCAGGAATCAGAGTTCTATTCTGCTTTTGTCCAATATTAGAAAATGGATGTTTCCTACATTTTATCAAGGTTTCTAGTTGTTTATGGCAGAAGAGTAACACTAGACCCTGTTCTTCCCTCATGGCAAGAGCCACTTTTGCTGACTTTCTATATTAACATCTGAAGATATAATGTATTCACACAGTTCAAAACTTGGTTTTCTTTAGAAAGCGTAATGAAATGGGGTGTTTAATCTAATGGAAATGTGTGATCAAAAAACTCCATATTTTAAATGGTAGTTACTACAGCCTATCTACCGACTGAGAGAAAAACATGATGCAGGAAAGGGGATAATCCAAGGAACAAACTCCTTGAGGAGGCAACAGTAGATGGGACTCAAAATACATTACAAACGGTTCACTTTACACTGGAACACAAAGAATTCATGCATAATTAAAGAAGAGAGGAAACTGCATAGGCACCTGCATGAGCAGGCTGGTAGGTTTGGTGAACAAAGCAATCATAAGGGAACCGCCCCCTGCTCCCATTTCCCGCAGGAAAATCAACAGCAAGGTCATCAGCGAATCTATCTGGCTCTCCTTTAGGGAAACCATCTGCAGTGTTATAGGGTGCACTACAGAGAAATCTACCTGACAGGGAGCTGAAGGAGGCCTCCAGTCATAGCCAGGGAGGAACTGAGGCCTTCTGTCCAATGGCCCGAAATTTGGAAGCCCAAGGGGTGAGCTTGGAAACAGATCCTCCTGAAGTTGAACCTTAAATTAACTACAGTCCTAGGTAATGTCTCCCTTAGAACCTCGTGAAAGCCTGGGACAGATGTCCCTGGTAAAGCTGTGCCTGGATTCCTGACCCACAGAAACTGAAGAGAAGATATATGACTGTTGTTTTAGGCCACTAAATTTGGGGTAATTTATTATATAGCACAGATTACCAAGGCAGATATTGGTGCCTGAAAGTGGGGTGCTGCCATAATAAATATCTAAAAACAGGGGAGTGGCCTTGGGACCAGATGATATGCAGAAGCTGGAAGGATTCGGAGGAGCATGACAGAGAAAGCCTAAGTTGCCTTGAACAGACTAATAGAAGAAATCTAAATTTTGAGGACATTGCCTCTATAGAACACAGAAGGAAGTAAGGAACATGTTATTAGAAACTGGAGGAAAGGGGATCTTTTTTATGTAACAGCAGAAGCTAAGTAACACATCTGCAGTTACGTGCACAATACAGAATGGGCCTGCTGAACTGGGTGATCTGCTTCAGATTTGCACACAAGTGTTCAAGGTGCCTCTTGGTGCAAAAGGGAGAGAGAGTCACTGAGGAAGGGCTGTTAACCAAAAGGAACCAGGACTTCAGAGTTGTGGATGCCCATCCTCTCCAGACAGCATAATTAAGAAATAGGTTCTAAGCAAAGATCAAAGTGAAGGCAGAAAGACCTCATCTCTATGAGATACATGGACTTTTATGTAAAGGACTGACCCTCAATAAGATTCACAGGAAGCCATATGGCCTCGTGAGAGAATCGTGGTAGCAGAAATACTGCTAGCTTAGACTAAAGAGCACGAAATGAAACAAAGCCACTGGACTCCCAAAGTTGTGCGAACCAGAAACAAGCTGAGAAAACCACTCAGCTATAGAGACGTGCAACCTTCACAAGAAAAGGGAGGCTAACTCAAAGGGTAAAAACAAGTGCCCAGAAGGCAGAGCCAAGAAACATAGAGAATTATACCTGAGGGTGAGGTAATAGAGAAAATAAGCCTAACATGAGGGGCATTGAGAGAGGTCAAAGAGCAGGATCCTTGACACCAACATTATAAAAAGGGCTTCCTTTTCAGAATTGGTATAATCTAGAATACGTCCAAGAAACTGGTTACATAGAAGGGGCTCAAAAAAAAAAACAAGAACAATGAAAGTAAAGCATTCAAGGACCTGAAGATCATCCATGTGGATGCTCAAGTCACCAGCAATGCTGACAGGAGTAACAGTGAAGAATCAAAGTAAACTAGGTGTTCTCCAAACTCCCTGGATGGCCCTTGCTTATTCATCCACCTTGGTTTTTCATCATTCCGCAGCTTTCCAAACCAACCACACTTAACTTTTTGAGTCCTCAAATATCTGTATCTGACTATGGGGTTTTGCAAATGCCTTTCACTCTATTTGGTTCATTCTTCTCTGTTCCCAGTAATCTAGGCAGATAATTCCTGTATATGTTTCCACAAGTCCCTGTACTTATTACATCACATTTTAAATGTTGTTGTTATGTTCTTGGTTTTTATTCTTAGCTACAGCAGGGCAGAGCTGAGTCTGAGTTGTTTAACATTGTTCCCCATACTCACCTTGCTGGCTGATGTATACAGTAGGAACCTCATAAAGGAAGAAGAGGATTTCCTGGTCAGGTCTAAGATAAAATGTCTAAAGCAGTTCCAAAAGCACATTTCTACGTCATCTCTCCTTCAAATTCTCTGAAAAACATTATTATCTAAGCTCAAACAGTGCTTTCCCTTCAAGAACATATTTATAGGACCTTAAGTCCTTTATGGACATTAGGTTTTAGTTCCTTTTAAAAATATACTTATTTACACATAGAAGCTTTTGAAAACTATACTCATGAATTTTCTAATGTTCAGAGAAGGTGATTTTAATTAAAAACCTCTCTATAGTAACCACTGGCTTGGATGTCTCTTCCATGGCAGCCTCACTTGTTAGAAGAGCCAGGGCCTCCTCCTGATCTGAAGGGTCTTATTTAGATTACTTGGAGGTATGTTGCCCAAAGAGGCACACGGAATTAGAATTCAAGGCAGAAATAGCATATGATGAATTGATCAAATGGACATCTTAACCAAAGCATACAAAAGAGAGAACAAAAAATAATGTGGAAAAAAAACCACAAGAGAATGTTTCTCAAATTGCACTGTTGTTCTAATACTTTTAGAAACTCAACTCAAAGTAAAAGTAGATCAAAAGAGTCTCCTAAATTCGTTGTATCAGCAAATTGAAAACCTAGTTAATGTTCCATAATTTTCTCATTTTTCTAGGCCTATCATTTAGATGACTACTTCCAAATCAGCTGACTAAAGTGAAGTTAAAATGCTCAGCTATAGCTAAGCTACTATGCAATTCTGTAATGCTGATTTTTTTCTTATATCCTTTTTCAGAAAATGCAGACCTCAAGATGTAATTATAGTCTATACATAATAAAATATAAATCATTTCATATAGTCACAGGGCCTTAAAACTGAGCACATTGTCCTAGTCTACTGATAATATTTGAAATTCTCTCAGATAGGCACTCAGTGAGTTTTGATCACCATCCAAAATATTTAGGTCATCACAGGAATGTACTGCATTGCAAAGGAATTCTCTCTGAGCTAAAATCTATTTTGCTCAATAAAGCAGGAAACTTTCTGCTCCAAACCTCAAATAAATCTTCATCCACCACAGTGTTTCCTTTTTTCTCTTTTTTCTCTTAGCACTGAAAAGTTGAGGTGAACTCTCTTCATTTTAAGACCAACCCTCAACCTCTTCTTTTTCTGGGACTTGCCTTTTCAACTATTCACTCTCTGTCATGTATATTCAATGGGTCCCCTTCTACCATACCTTCAATTTCACTTTCCCTGCTGGGTTATTTTCTGTAGACTAGAAACAAGCTCATTCTTTCCCATCTTTTAAATGTCCACTCTTGGCTGTGAATTACCCATCACTCCTCCATTTTCCCCATGTTACAACCTCAGCTAGGCTTCTTGGGCCTCTAGGGATGTATAGCTCAGTCATTTATGCTGCAAACATTACTACTCAACTCAGCTGTCTCCTTCTGCAGGAAACCTTCGTTCCTCTCTTTTCTCACCAGCTGCACTAGATACCCACATCTAAGGTCCCACAACAATCTTGTGCTCCTGCAGCTTCCTGTGCCTTCCAAATATACATCAGTAACCACTAAAATTGATGCCCTGTACGTATCTGTCCCAACCATTAGCCTGTGAGCACCTCAAGGACAGAGATCATAACTATGCTACTTTTTTTATATCTTTGTGCCTTTCTTTTAAAAAATTGTTTTGTTTTATTGTGTTAAAACATTCATACCATAAAATTTACCATGTAAAGTGTACAGTTCAGTGACATTAAGTACATTCACATCGTTGGGGAACCATCATCACCACCCCTTTGGAACTCTTTTCGTCTTTCCGATCTGAAACCCTGTATACATTTAAACAAGGACTCCCCGATACCCCCACCCCTAGTTCCTGGCGTTCACCATTCTGCATTCTGACTCTCTACATGGGCAGTTTCTAACACATCACCCCACAAGATTCCTTAACAGTATCTCTCCATAACTACAGAACTGAAGAAGGTGATTCTCTTTCTCTGCAAGCACCAAACCAAAGAAAAAATTAGAAAGAATTTTAAAGAGTTAAAATTCACATAGGAATGATATGTATTGCCACTGGAGTTGTTAGAAAATTTGAATGGTATTAGAATTACAAGTGTACAGATATTTAAAACCACCATCCTGGCTGTCTACCTAGCACAGATAAATATTAAGAACCTATATTTTTAAAATAGTAACAAGTTCAAACATGAGAAAAAAAAACCTATGTGAAAAAGAAATATAAAATAAGTTTTTTCCCCTTGTCCACTAAAATATCTAAGACCCCTGAAATGAGTTCATACTTCTTTCAGAATATATGCCCATCCATATTGTCAACGTCTTGCTACTGCTATGTGAATCAACAGGAGAAAAGAAGCAACAAATGAAGAATGTTGTATTAAAAAATACATAAACTGCCTCCTAGAAATGTACAATAGCTATAAAAGGAAATGTATGGATAGGAGAGATTTCATAATCCACTTCTGTATAGGGAAGCACTTACATTTCAAAAAAAAATTACATTGTATCAATGCCCAAATTAATTTATTTGGTACTTACAGAACATATAAAAGATGGACCTTAAGGTCATCATTCTTGGAAGGATTCTTAAATAATGACTCCACATAACAGATGAATAATTTCAAGTCCTCTTTCATCCAGCACTGTATGTTCCAGTTTGCACCTGAATTAAAAACAAACTGTATCAAATCTGAAAAACATTCTGGACAACTCAATGAAAGAGAAGAGCTAAATTAAATTTACCAGTGTTCTGATACAACTTCCACTGCCCATTCTGAGAGGAAAAGAACAGGCTCTAACCAGTGGTATGTGTCTGCCCAAGGACTTTAGATCCTTCGGCCTTCAGTTTCCTTTTTTGTAAAGTAAGAAAATCAAATTCAATTATTGTTTCTCAAACTCTTTTTTATCTTTGGCCATTTAAGTAGGACGAAAGACCTAAAAGCTCACCTTGCTCAGTTCATGCTCACTTCCCAAGAGAAAAAAGAACATTAAATATCAAGGTACAAGCAAACGTGGAGCAGCGTTTATGCGTGTGCTTGAGCAATAAAGGCACAGTGACTCACATCTGAACTGTGATGCATATCTTATGTTCTTGCTATTGTAATGTTATAGGCCCCAAATACAGCTGATGCAAGTATATTTAACTGCACACTGAAAAGCTCACTTGATAATGATAAATTATTGGTGATTTGTAATTTAGAAGGCAGAACAGCAGCAATTGAAAATCATGACTGATTTAAGATACTGAAAGTATCTTAAACGCAACACTAACATATTCCCCAAACCTGAAGAACCTTTAGCGAGTAGGGACTTTGCAACATTTGAGGCCTATGAAGTAAGCAGCCTGTTTGGCAGAATAATAAATTGAAATCCTCAGTAACCACCACTTAACCTAGTAATTTTAGTTACAAAAACTTAAATTCACTTAGAAGTAATTATTCACCTTTATTTACATGTAAAATTTAAATCTACAGCATCATAATCATTCCTCTTAATACCTGAGGAAAGTGCTAACATTTTTTCATCATTTCAAGACTCATCACAAGTACCCCGACTTTTAATTTCATTCTTAGTATATTTAATAATCCCCGAAAAGGCTGAGTTAGGTTCCCTGACAAATTTAAAAAGTGCCTCACTTAAAATTAAGTTAATTGGCTATAGACTCAATTGAGAACACTGGGAATTACTACTACTTATTTTAAAATTCTGATTTTACTGCTTATAATTCCTAAACTGATCTAAACAAACTGGAGGGTTTCTTCCATCTGAACAGTGCTGCTCAACCAGGGGCAATCTGGCATTCGGAGGACATCTGGCAAAAGTCTGGGGACATGTTTTAATTTTCACAAGTGGGAAGGAAGTGCTCCTGGCATCTAGTGGGAAGAAGCCAGCGGTACAGGTAAACATCCTGCAAAGACCAGAGAGCCCCCAACCCAAGAATCATATGGCCCAAAATGTCAGTACTGTTGAAGTTGAGAAATTGTGATTAACCCAACACAGGATGCTACACTTACATATAAATTTTTGTATCTTAGGTCTCTTTTTGTTGCCAAGTCAACTGACTCTGCTCTATTGGCCTTTCCAGAAGGCTTAGAAATAATTTTGCTGTTTAGATTTCCAGATCAAACTTGCTAACTACACTAGCTACACTTAGTAAGCATTACACTTTAACAATAAAAACCCCTGATTTCAAATATTCATTGGTTAGAGATTCCCTTGCTTGAACAATTATTAGTACTCATTAATGCTTTCAAATGTAACTAATTCAACAGTTGAATATTTTGAATATTTTATCTTCATAACAAAATAAGATGTGTTTTTTCCATTTTAAAGCAAATTTAGAAAAATATAAGAAATGTATAGGTAAAAAGAATTGCCTCATTACTTTTTTTTAGTATACATGCTACCAAAGTGAGCACTTCATTTTTATTTTATTATTATGCAATATAAAATAATTTGGGGATTATTAGTTTGATCACATGATGAATTTTAATTTTATTACTAATACAATATGATAATATGTGTACCTCAACATCATAAAGACCATATATGACAAACACCCACAGCCAACATTATACTTAACAGCAAGAAGCTGAAAGCTTTTCCTTAAAGATCCGGAACAAAACAAGGATGCCCATTCTCCCCACTTCTATTCAACATAGTTCTGGAGGTCCGAGCCACAGTAATCAGACAACACAAAGAAGTAAAAGGCATCCGGATTGGCAAGGAAGAAGTTAAATTGTCCCTGTTTGCAGATGACATGATACTGTATATCAAAAACCCTAAAGAATACACTCCAAAACTACTAGATCTGATATATGAATTCAGCAAAGTTGCAGGATACAAAATTAATATGCAAAAATCTGTTGCATTCCTATACACTAATGATGAACTAGCAGAAACAGAAATCAAGAAAACAATTCCATTCACAATTGCATCAAAAAAGAATAAAATACCTAGAAATAAACCTAACCAAGGAAGAGAAAGACTATACTCTGAAAACTACAAGACACGCATGAGAGAAATTTAAAAAGATACCAATAAATGGAAACACATCCCATGCTCATGGATAGGAAGAATTAATATTGTCAAAATGGCCATCCTGCCTAAAGCAATCTACAGATTCAACACAATCCCTATCAAAATACCAACAGCATTCTTCAATGAACTAAAGCAAATAGTTCTAAAATTCATATGAAACCACAAAAGACCCCAAATAGCCAAAGCAATCCTGACAAGGAAGAATAAAGCAGGGGAGATTACACGCCCAGACTTCAAGCTCTACTACAAAGCCACACAATAATCAAAGACAATTTGGTACTGGCACAAGAACAGACCCATAGACCAACGGAAAAGACTAGAGAGCCCAGATATAAACCCCAGCCTCTTCAACAACTGGTGTTGGCAAAACTGGACAGCTACATGCAAGAGAATGAAATTGGATTATTGTCTAACCCCATACACAAAAGTAAACTCAAAATGCATCAAAGACCTGAATGTAAGTCATGAAAACATAAAACTTTTAGAAGACAACATAGACAAAAATCTCTTGAATATAAACATGAGCAACTTTTTCCTGAATATATCTCCTCAGGCAAGGGAAACAAAATAAAAAATGAACAAATGGGACTACATCATGCAAAAAACTTTTGTACAGCAAAGGACACCATCAACAGAACAAAAAGGCATCCTACAGTATGGGAGAATATATTTGCAAACGACATATCCAACAAGGGGTTAACATCCAAAATATATAAAGAAATCACATGCCTCAACACCCAAAAAGCAAATAACCCTATTAAAATATGAACAGAAACTTCTTCAAGGAAGAAATTCAGATGGCCAACAGGCACATGAAAAGATGCTCCACATTGCTAAAATCAGGGAAATGCAAATTAAAACCATAATGAGATATCACCTCACACCAGTTAGGATGGCCAACATAGAAAAGACTGGGAATAACAAACGCTGGTGAGGATGCAGAGAAAGGGGAATCTTACTACACTGCTGGTGGGAATGTAAACTAGTTCAAACATTGTGGAAAGCAGTATGGAGGTTCCTCAAAAAACTAAAAATAGAAATACCATTTGACTCAGGAATTCCACTCCTAGGAATTTACCCTAAGAATGCAGGATCTCCTTTTTAAAAAGACATATGCACCTCTATGTTTATTGCAGCACTATTTACAATAACCAAGAAATGCAAGCAACCTAAGTGTCCATCAGTAGATGAATGGATAAAGAAGATGTGGTACATATACACAATGGAATATTATTCAGCCATAAGAAGAAAACAAATCCTACCATTTGCAACATGGATGGAGCTAGAGGGTATTATGTTCAGTGAAATAAGCCAGGCGGAAAAAAGACAAGTATCAAATGATCTCACTCATCTGTGGAGTATAAGAACAAAGAAAAAACTGAAGGAACAAAACAGCAACAGACTCAAAGAACCCAAGAATGGACTAACAGTTACCAAAGGGAAAGGGACAGAGGAGGGTGGGTGGGAAGGGAGAGAGAAGGGGAATAAGGGACATTATGATTAGCATATATAACATGGAGGCGGGGCATGGGGAAGGCAGTAGAGCAAAGAGAAGACAAGTAGTGACTCTATAGCATCTTACTACGCTGAAAGACAGTGACTGTAATGGGGTATGTGGTGGAGAGTTGATAATGGGGGGAATCTAGTAACCACAATATTGCTCATGTGATTTTATATTAATGATACCAAAATTTTAAAAATGGGGGAAGAAAAGAAACAATAATATGTGTTAAGAATACCATCCATAAAACATCTACTTCATACAGGTTTCAGAGAATGAAAACATTTTGTTCAATACAGTTAAATAACAGCTGATCCTTGGAACATTAAAATACTTACCTATTTGTTGAAAAACTAAAGAACTTACTGTTGAAACAAATGCCTTCCCTTCAATGTTGTCTGCATGTACAGAGCAGTTTTGATCTTCCTCACTCCAAAAGCAACAGTAGAAAGTTGTTTTAGATTGTAAGTTAGAAAAGTAGGTGTCACTTGAATTAAATTTAGCTTCAACAACTGCCTCATAATATCCATTCGGGTGGGAAGTGTTCTTTGAGATTCCAGCAGGCAGCAGGAAATCATAGGTTGTATTTGGTGGCATGCAAGACAACTTAAATCTCCAGGGAGTAACTGGATATGCCAACTTAAATGCAGTTATCACATAAATAAATTCTGTTAGGATATTAAAAAAACACATTGAAAAAAATTATTTTGACTAGGACATAAATAGGAAGTATCTAAGATTAAACCATGTAGTGCTTGATGATAATTATTTAACCTTCCAAGTGCTCATTCAGGGCCTAAGGCATAGGTGTATGCTTCCCTTGTACAATGTGTTATTCTCAAAAGGGCACATTTACTTATAGAGATAACTTGACTCTCTAGTACCCCTTTCTGGAAACTCATGCTTCATTTTTCTCACTAATCTAACATGTTACATTTACATTTTAATAAAAGAAAGTTATACCTAAATTTTCATTTTCCTCTTCTAAAAAAATTATTCTAATGAACTTCCAGATAAAGGAGGACTATCTGGAAGTGCAATTATATAAACAAATATTAAAGCACTATGTTCATATTAACCAAAATGTTAATATTGCTCCTATGAGTATTTCCAGAAAGGGTTTGCCTTCGACATCAGGTCAGCTGGATGATCTCCCAAATCTGCCCGTGATCTTCCAGATATATGACATCATATAAGACACATCCTTAAAACACTCTCCAAGAACTGATGCACAATGACAGGCTGGTTTTTAAAAAATAATCACTTTTTAAGCATAAAAAAATTAAGAATAATTATATAATTCTATACCTATAAAAGTTCCCAAACTGATAGTTTTCTTAGTAAGTAATTGTTTGAAAATAAATAACATTAATTCTCAATAATCTTTGATCAGTTACTTAAATAATCCAGCATCTGTGCTGCCTCATATACAAACTAATGCAGAATGAGAATTCTGAAAATTTTGAATGCATTTGTATGGAATGAGAATTTCTGAAGGACTGGATAAATGTAAAAATCTAAGAAAACAAATTTTTAAAAATATCAATTCACAAAAGTTTTGTTTTAAATTACAAAAGTAATACATACGAACTATTCAAACAATACATGGTACTGAGTGTTAGCAGTTTGATTTCTAAACTTTCCTATAAATATAAAAATGTATCATAAGCAAAAGTTAAGGCTGCCCAGTTCATGAGTTACTTAATAAAGTCAATTAGATCTTCAAACATTCTCAGTTGAATTTTGTTTTTTAACAAAGTGTTTGAAATTAAAGTCAGACTATCTTTACCAAAACCATTTTATCTGGCAACCATTACTTGTGTGTGGACTAGTTTTGAGCATCTCCTTGGCTACTCCAACCTAAATGTGCTCTTAAGAGCTCCTTTACAAGTCTTCCTTGTTGTACATACTGTTCCGATTACAGATTTCAAAAAAACCATACCACAAGGGATGATCAAAAAAGTGATAACATACTCATTCTCTCTTATATTCTCTGTTCTTTATTGTACTCTACTCAAATATTTTACATTGGCTTTCCAAAAGGTTTGTGGTTTGACCAAATTTTGTGAATAAGAAATGCTCCTGGGATATTGTTACCATGATAAGATATGCCTTCAAATGAAAATTCTATATTCCTTACTGTTTAGGTTTCATTTAGAGAGAAAGAAATGTCATTTACAAAGGAAGCATGTAACACAATAGAATCATCTTTTAATTAAACTGATTTGATAATTGCTATGTGTATGACATTTATTATTACATTTTAAGTTTCAAATGCTTCTTTGAGGATTTTATGCTAATTTCAGTTCAGCCAACTAAATCCTTCAGGTGCAGTTAGAAAATATAATGCTTTTAATTGGTACCAATAAATACTATTACCAAGTAAACTGCTCCTTGATACAGAGAATTAAAATTTTGACTATCATCTGATATACATACATTTATAATTTATAATGCTACATTTGCTAAATAAAATTAAAATATTGAACTGTCACTACATCTTGCTTCTAAGTATGTATAAGTGTGTTAGTGTGTACTTATAAATTTTTTGTACTGTAAAATAAAACAAGGTTAAAAAGCAAATGATGGGCAGGGAGAAAAAATTTTCAAAACGATACATTTTTAGGGCTTGTATAATGAATGCTATATGTCAATTTGTCTAGGTCCATAGGGTGCTCAGACATTTAGCCAAACATTATTTTGGGTGTGTCTGTGAGGATGTTTCTGGATGAACTTAACATTTGAATCAGCAGACTGAATGAAGCAGATTGTCCTTCCTAATGTGAATGGGCCTCATATACTCGGAGATCTAAGTAGAACAAAAAAGTTGAGTTAGTGAGAACTCCTACTGCTTGACTGACAGGAGTCTTTTCCTTCCTTCGGACTCAAACCAAAACATCAGGTCTTCTTGGGTCTCAAGCCTACCAGTGTTTAAACTGGAACTTATACCATCAGTTCTCCTAGTTTCCAGTTTGCCATTGCAGATCTTGGGACTCCTCAGCCTCCATAATTGTGTGAACCAATTTCTTATAATAAATGCCCTTCTATATATACATAAATTTTATTGGTTTCTGTTTCTCTGGAGAAACCTAATACAAGGCTAAATAATTATTACAGTTCAGAAATTTCTAAAAATCATCTAACACCAGTAAAATCCAACAACAAAATGGTCAAAGTATATGAATTAGAAAATCACATAATATAAATGGTCAGTAAACAGTGCTCAACCTTACAAATAAAAAAATAAGTAAAACTGAAATGAGATACCATATTTTGTGTATCTGATAGGGCAAGAAGGTAAAAGAATGATAATATGCATCTTTGGCAGAAATGCAATGGAACGGCACTCAAAAATTCTGTTAGGGCTTCAAATTGCACAAAGCTTTGTCGAAAAGAGTTTACAGAATTTATTAAACCAAAAATGTGCATTCTAATCAACACAGAAATTACTCTTTACAAGTCAATCTACAGATATATTCTCCCGAATTACAAAGATGCACAAATATGGATTTCAAAGCACTATTATTTTTTACAGAAAAAGGAATGTCTATCAATATAGAATAGGCCAAATAAATCAATAATTTAAGGTACATTCATACAGTTCATTGCCATTGCAACCATTAAATAAATAAGTACATCAGTAAATACTGATGACAAAAAAAGTTGTCATGATAAATTGAAAAGCTATTAAATGAAAAAAGAAAAATGCAGAACAATATGTATAGACTAATTCTATCTTTGTAACTTTAGATATGAATTGTGTGTGTATATATGTGTTTAATAGTTCTTGAAAGGTACTATAGGAGTTTCCAGGAGGTTGGGAATGGTTTTCATTTTCACTCTATTTTCAAATGGTTAAGAAGGGTTTTCATATTCACATTTATGCTTTTGTTTATATTGCATTTTTAATTATGAGCATGAGAATTCCTAACTGGAAACAGAAAATTCTGTTGGCCAATGAAGGAATAATATCTCTAAGGGCAAAATCTCTACCTTATATACAAACATTTAAAAAGCAAATAACTTACCCCAATGTAACAAAGCTATACAGAATTTTTGACAAATCATCTTACTTCAGAAAAATCCACCTGAAAAAAGTAAGTCAAAAATAAATACACACACGCACAAAACCGAACATATATACAAGATGCCTGTGGAAAACAGAAAAGGAAAAGGATTACAAATAAGTCTTTACATTTTAATCTTTTATAATACTCTGGATCAATATTAGAGAAGTGTCTCAGATTAAAGTATAGTTATAAGTTATGGATTTATTCCTGTGCACAATCTTATATAGTGAAAATATAAGCCACATATTCATATATGGCATAATCAAAATATTTTCTATGTTTTCAATGTTTCTTTATGCCATGACAAACCAGGACATGATGAAATTGAATTTTTAAGTAAACAAAAGTGCTCAAAATGTTCATTAAATATATAGTCAATCTAACATTATTAATATCAGTTATTTTTTATGAACAGTTCTTAAATTTCTTTTTTTCTAAAGTCTTTATCTTTACTATGATACTACAAAGTCAAACTGCTATAGGATAGGTAATGACTGCATATTTATTTCCAATAAAGAGGAGGAAGTTTTCGATTATGCTTTTGAAAACCCACCGTTCTTTTGCAGATGAGTTAATTTTCACATTGGAGAATTATCCAAGTACTTCAAGGGAAGTTTGATGGCTTACTGTATCCAAATAATAGGATGACTTCAGAAATTAACTTTCCCATGAATTCTACTCAATTTGAAATACATCATTAATAAGATTATTATGCATATGTCATGAATTACAATGGCAGTACAGTTTTAAAGATTTGGTTTAGATTTCTAATGAAACACTAAAGGCTTTTGTTCAAGTCTTTTTTATTATCTCAAATTTGGGATTCAGTTCACTACACACAAGCTGATCTGAAAAAGCCCTGAATGACGTATCAGGAGTCCTGGATGCCAATCTAATCAGCTGTAGGACTTGGGACTTCAAACACACTAGACCTTAGGTTCCTCATCCACAAACCAGACTGATAGGTGGTCTCTGCAATCCCTTCTAGACCTGTCTAGATGCTGAGAGATTTTATTTTAAATAGAAGTCACAGCTTTACTAGGGAATATTATAAAATATTAAGTGAGAAACATGTCTCATAAGTCATATCTGAGAATCAGTACCATGTGATAAGTAAACAGAAAAATGTATGTGTTTATTTCACAACTTAATAATTCTTGGTAAGGAAATGGATGAGTGTAGTCTTTTGCCATCTGCTAAATTTTTTTTTCAGGCTATCAGTTCTTCATCTGAATTTTGTTTCTTTATAAGCTGACATCACAATGTTTTTTAGGATTTCTAAAAATCGGGCCAGAGTTTGGGATTCTCATTATATAATCATATGAAATGTATGTAAATTCCTCCCAGTTTTTTAAACTACCTGTTTCTGATACAAAATTTTCACATAAAATAAACCCAAGGACAAGTTTCATAATTGGGATGTGTCATAGATACAACAGATCACTAGACTAAATGTCTCAAGTGAACTGACTAGTGACTAGTAATTCAGTCCAGCAATTGGTTTGACTCACTTTTAACTCAACTGATCCACTGAGTTAAAAAACCAAATAGATCAGCTGTTTTTCCTTACATAAGATAATCACTCTTTTATGTATTATTCCATGCAAAAACCAAGCTATATTTTAGTTTGAATTCTTGCGGTCAGGGTTTGCTCTTATATAACAAGGAAACAATCATAGGTATGCAAGGGGCCTAGATGAAACCTTGAAGAGAGTGTGAAAGGTTGTACCTTATACAGATTCAAAGAGAAATATTTTATGCACCCTTAATTGTACCAGAAAGGAACATAAGGAGGTTTACAAAAGCACAGACAATACAGAATAAAGTGACAGAAATTTTTAAACTCTAAAAAAAAAAAAAAAAATCAAGCAGAGGGATAACCAATGGTAAGGTAAAGACCAAAATAAGTCTAATGTACAACATCCCATGAATTTGAATTCATTCCTAAGGATAAGCTATTAATTTGCTTTGGTCATATTGTTCAGTTATAAATTCAGAGTACTTAAAAGGAAACCACCAATTTAGGGGAAATGTAAAAATAATCCTAACACTAAGAACAGAAAGAAATTTTGCTGGACTAACTTCATAAAATAACAGGTAGCATCCTCACAAACATGCTAATAATACCAGAGTTTCAGGGAAATTTCAAAATTCGGTAATTTCTCATCCCGTCCACTGCCAATACCCTGTTCTAAGCCACCAGTACCTATTCCCTAGATGATCAGAAGAGCCTCCTAAATCTTCCGGCTGTCCCGCTGGCTCCCCAGTTCAGTCAGTCCTCAGTGTGGCAGCCAGAATGGTCTTACTGACACATAGTCAGACCATTTGTCTCTTTCTCAAAGCACCTTTTCACCCAGAGTAAAAGTCTAAGTCCTGCCCAGAGCTATAGGGCCCGGGATCTCTACAGCCTCTCCGACCGCACGGCTGGCTGCTCTTCCCTTTGCTCCGGTCACGTTCTCAGAGGAGCCTTCCCCAACCAGCCCACCTACAGTTGAATACCTTCTCTGCCCTGACATGTCATGTCTGCTGCCATGCTTAATTCTTTTATCCTTATTACTTAACACTATTTAACATGAATATGATTTGGTTTTTTGTTTGTTTACTGTCTAACTCTCCCCAACTAGAATGTAAACATTTAGACCACGAGATATTTTGACTATTTCCTTTTCATCATTACACCCTTCACGCACAGAAGCTTACCTCTCACTTGGTAGGTGCCCCACATATATTAACTGAATGAATGAGTCAATGAATGAATGGCAAAATATGACTGTTTCTTGAAATACTCTTCAAAATAGGCTGATGGCATCACATCGAGACAAATCAAACAAAAGCAGTCTTTAAAAGAGGCATTCTGATATTATTCAGATACAGCTACTTGAGGATTTGGTTTACTACCATTTCTGGATATGGACCTTGTTGCAAATTTGGTGAGAAGAATGTACTGACTGTACTAATTGCACATATACCCCATTAGGGTTATAATTAGGGGTTAACAAATTATCTGAAATTTATCCAGATGAAGAATTCCTGATGTAGACAATGGCATGCACATTCCTCAGGTAATCTTCCATGAGTATAGCTGTGTGAATACAGCCATTGATAGACACCAAACTGTAAAGGATTTGAGATAATATGGCACTACTATGTTTATTGCAGCATTATTTACAATAGTCAGGATATGGAAACAACCTAAGAGTCCATCAATAGATGAATGGATGAAGAAGATGTGATACATATGTACAATAGAATATTTACTCACCATAAAACAAGAAAGAAATCTTGCCATTTGTGATAATATGGAAGGCCCTAGAAGGTACTACGCTAAGTGAAATAGGTCAAAAAAAGACAAATACCATATGATTTCACTTATATGTAAAATCTAAAAAACAAAACAGAAATAGACTCATTAACATAGACCATGGACTGTTGTTAATACAGGGGAAAGGGACGGGAGAATGGATGAAACAGGTGAAGGGATAAAATGATACAAGTAACGAGAATATATTCATAAATGACAGATCCAATAAAGTGTTGACATCCAAAATATATAAAGAGCTCACACACCTCAACAAACAAAAAGCAAATAATCCAATTAAAAAATGGGCAGAGGAGCTGAACAGACTGTTCTCCAAAGAAGAAATTCAGATGGTCAACAGACACATGAAAAGACACTCCACATCGCTTGTCATCAGAGAAATGCAATTAAAACCACAATGAGATATCACCTCACACCAGTAAGGATC